GGGAGCCCTTCCTAGAGGACCCTGTTACTACCCTGGAGAGTTAGTTGATCTGAGCTTATTGTGAGTAGTGGAACCAACCCTCTCACAGAGGCAGCGCTGAAATCAGGAAGACAGTCCAGAAATACTTGATGCTGTGGTTGGCTAGGGAGGGGAGGAGCTGTTTACTGGGGCACAGAAAACAGGGCAGAGGTAGAGGTGTGACCCGTTACTTTCTAAACATGTGACCAAGATGCACCAGAACATCTAGGTAGGGAGACAAGACCGTGCATGGGTGCAAACGGTCAGACTGGGTCATCCTGGGGTAGGGGGAGGACATGGTTATTGCCTGCACTGGAGTAGAGGCAGCACAGCGAGATGCCGAAGTGCTCAGTTTAAGAAGAGGATGAGGATTGTGGGTTCTAGACCAGAATGATCAATTGCCAGGGCTAGAGCAGGTAGTACAGAGAAGTAGGGGCCAAGAACCAGTACACATGGCAGGAAGGTCAAAGGTCTTGTGTTTTTATCAGAATATGATACTCTAATGTGTCCTGTACAGAAAACAAGAATGTGGCAGTGGCACCTGAACCACACTCCTTTGACATGTTTACAGGTTGCTGTGGGGGCTGAGACAGCAGGGGGTATCCTCTACTCACAGGATGACTCGTGCTAAAGTGGCTCCAGGTGGTCATACAGGGACACTTCAGGTGACAAGCTAAGAGCAGAATGGGAATCAGAGGGACGGGGACTTCCAGGTTTCCACAGACTTGATTACATCTTGAATTTCATTTTTTTTGTTTTGTCTTTTTTGAGACAGGATCTCGTTATGCAGTTCAGGCTGGCCTTGAGCTCACTGTGTAGCCCAGGCTGGTCTTGAACTCGAAAGGATCCTCCTGCCTCAGCCTCCCAAGTGCCGGGATTACAGGCGTGCACCACCACACCTGGCCACATTTTGAATTCCTTTGAAAACTGGCTGGTTAAGGGCTACCTGCTCACAAGAACCCAGCAGAATTGCTAACTGCAGGCTGCCGTGCTGGAGGGCATGCCTTTATCCACTCTGAATTGGCTGTCGGTGTGGATTTGGAAGCTGGAACTGAGAGGTGGTTCATGTGGCCAGGGCCTGAGAATGGTGGCTAGCATGGCTACTTGGCTGAGCCTCTGGCTCCCAGGAGAGCAGCCTTCTAAGGATCAGTGCTACTCTGGCCAGGGTCTGAAGGATCACCATCTGTGGCCAGGAATCATAAAGGCATTCTCAGACAGGCAGGGCAGGGGAATTAGACATCTGCATCTTCTTCATAGGCCCCTAAAGTAGCCTGGAATGGTGTGGGCAGGCTGGACTGTAGGAGACCAAGAGAGGTGGAAAAGGGCTTTGTATGCACCTCCTGTCATGCTTGCAGAGGGTGTGCGTAGTCAGTCTTCCCACTGAGTCACCAGACGGGGCTTTCCCAGTGTCCTGTGCACACTGGTGGGTACTGCAGCCAGGTTCCCAGTTTTGCCAAGAAGGATGCTGGGCAGGTAAAGCACATGGGGAGCCCTAGGGCCTGGCGAGGCTAAGATTGTTTCCTATCAAGAGTAACCCCAACCTTAAGAGAGCTGACTCTGAGGCTCCCTTTGCTGGCTTCATAGTACCAATCACAAGACCATGAGAAGCCAAGAAAAAAGAAGGCCGATGCCCAGCACTCTACCCTGTGCTTTCACAGGGTCTCTAGCTAGTTCTTGCTTCATGGGGGCAGTGGTGGGGTCCTTGTATGGTGGTGGCAGCCAGAGATACCCACAGAAAAACATAGTTGCTTTGTGGATGCAGGTGTGTGTGTGGGGGGGCAGGTAGAGGGGCTGGACCATGAGTGCAGACCCATCCCACCATGACATACCCAGAGGGCAGTATGTGCAGGTATAGACAGAGCCTACTCAGAATGGCAGCCACCCTTGCCACCATGGGTGTACCTGAGCAGAGCATATGGGGAGCTGGGAAGGCTCTGCTTCTAAGCTGCTTATCTGTCCCGCAGGAGATGGAGCTTGTGTCCTGCTTCGAGCACTAGAACCTCTTGGGGGCCTGGAGACTATGCGGCAGCTTCGTAGTACCCTCCGGAAGGGCACCATCAACCGTGCTCTGAAAGACCGTGAGCTCTGCAGTGGCCCCTCCAAGCTGTGCCAGGCCCTGGCCATTGACAAGAGCTTTGACCAGCGAGACCTGGCCGAGGATGAGGCTATGTGGCTGGAACGTGGCTCCCTGGAGCCCAGTGCACTAGCTGTGGTGGCAGCAACCCGCATCGGCATTGGCCGTGCAGGGGAGTGGGCCCAGAAGCCTCTGCGTTTCTATATCCGGGGCAACCCCTGGGTGAGTGTGGTGGATAAAACTGCTGAGCAGGACACACAGGCCTGAGCAAAGAGCCTGCTTAGACAGGCTTTTTAATTGTTTAAAAGCCAAATAAATACTTTTTTTCTATAAAACTATTGTTCATGTGTCTACCAGAACTCCCTGGGTAATCAGCATGTGTGTGTGCTATATCTTCCTCTAGGATGGGAGATCTAGGGGCCCTGTGTGTGTGGACCCCAAAAACAGTGCATGCATACCCCTCAGAGCAGCTCAAACTACCACCTGCCATGAGCTGCTCCAGCCCAGGTGGGCCTAACCTTGGTCCTCAAAAAGGTGATAGCTTAGCTGGGCCTGCTGGTGACATACACAGGGCTGTAGTAAGGACCAGGCCAGGAGATGCATGGCAAGCTGAGAGGAATGGAGCACAGTGAACAGCAGCCGTGATGGATGAAGGGGCCCCGTGGGACAGGACAGGCACTCAGACCTCACATGCTGCAGGCTGTCAGAGGGGCAGGGGTGGATCAAACAAGTGCTGCTGCAAATATTCCACGGCGGCCACATGGGGCAGGTGATAGGAAACACGGTGGGGTTGGGAAGAGGCAAAGAAACCCACAGCCCCTATACATGTGGAAGGACTCATTTCACCATGAGTCCTGGAAGTCCCCACAGCTCGGTGATGCTAAGACTGTTGGAAGGACCAGATGAGAGATTAAGAGCAGAGCAGTGTTCCCACAGCTACTGCTAAGCCAGACTGAGGCACCTGCAGCCAGGAGGACAAAGCCCTGCTGGCTTTCTACCTGTGCCACGCCTCAGGGATAAGAGGGCTCAGGCCTGGTATGGAGGGAGCCCCAGGGTAGGAGAGGCTTAGGCCCTCCCACGCACTCCAGCAGCTTCTGCATCCTCCTGGGCTCACGTGAGCAGAGCCTGGAACACAGCAATGACGGGGTCCTCATGGGTGGTCACCACCAACACACTGCGGAACTTGTCAAAGAGCATGAGCAGCTGGGAGCGCCGAGTGTTCTCGTTGTACATGATCTCTTCCAGGTGGTGGCGGCCTCGGAAGTAGTGAAGCAGCCTGGGGAGAGAGGGTGGACTGAGCCTAACCTGTGGCTAGCCTCCAGAGGCCTCTAACAGCATCCTGGACCCCATGCCCACCAGTCCCCAAAGCAGTGGTGGTCCTGAAGTGAGCCTGTGAGGCACAGCTGTTCAAACCCAAAGCCACCCAGGCCTGTGCCCCAGCGTTGGGAGGGGACTGACAGAAGGCTTCCTTTTTCCATGCTACTGTGGCACTGAGTCCATTCACCGCTCCAGTGAGGGGTTACAGCTGAGGCTGGCACAAAGGAGGCCTGGACCAGCGGATTGGAAGAGCTACAGATGTTTCTCTCAAGAGTCTGAAGTGAATGCTGACAACCTCCCAGATAACCATATACCCAGTGGCCCTCAAGTCAAGGTGGGGATGACAGACTATCAGGCCACTCTGACGCAGGGATCCTGGACACCCTCCAACCCCAGAATAAAAATCCTGGGTAAACCCCTGCCAAGTCCCATGTGGGTAAGAACTCGCTGCTGCTGCTCAACTAGTGACAATAAATGGCTACAAGTACTGGGGAAACTCCCAAAGACGGGAATACTAGGCCTCCAGCCCAGGGTCCTGGCAACAGCCCGCAGTCCCCACACATGGGTGGGTGGTGGTGCCTGCCCCTGCACAAACAGGTACCAGGACGGCATGCCTAAGTACATGAGATACCTTCTTACCCTGTGACCACCAGCTGTAGTCACTGCATTTGTACATGTGGTCCTGTTGAGTATATGATGTGGGGTCTGCAGGCAGGCCCCCTTCTACTTCTTGCCAGTTCTAGAAATGGCCCCCACCTGGCAAACATGCGGAGGTCCTCAGGGTTCTGGGCTGCAGGCACGCTGAGGATGGCTGCCCGCTCATGCTCGGACAAGCTGGCCAGGAGGTTCTCTGTCATCCTTTTGTTCAGTGGCGAGTCCCCGCTAGGGAGCAGCTCTGCACTGGAGTTGTCCATGCTGGGGCTAGTGAGGGTCATGTCATCGCTGCTGGCTAAGGGTAGGCACAGGTCAGGGTAGACTCCAAAATGCTAAGGGGGCACTAGCAAGGGTAGAGCTAGTAGCCAGCCCACCAGGACACCCTGATGAGGAGTCCTACTAGCGCCCCACTGTACCATGTTCCAACCCAGGGTATGTTACCCCATCACTGCCACCCCATCCTTTGGGTGTGTCACATGCCCTCTAGTGGCTGACCAGGGATGAAGCCTCAGGGACCTTGAACAAAAAGGCATGTGGCCAGGCATGGTGGTGCACACCTGTAATCCCAGCACTTGGGAGGCCGAGGCAGGAGGATTGTTGCAAGTTCAAGACCAGCCTGGGCTACAAAGTGAGCTCAAGGCCAGCCTGAACTGCATAGCGAGACCCTGTCTCAAGGAAAAAAAAAAAAAAAAAAAAAGGCATATGGAATCCTGCTCCCTCTCCCACAGCATCCTACAGGGTCGTCACATGAAGCCTAAAGCTAAGGAGCACTTCCAATACCTCCCAGCCCCTTGCCTTGTCCATGCCTAGGACCTGGCAGAAGGCTGCCGGCTGTGGGGGTACATGATGACCACAACAGCTTCTCCCACAAGTGAGTAGGACAGTCAGGGAGCCATGACCCTAGATAGCTCCAGTAAGGTCTTTGGTGCTAGGCAGGAAGGCCTCTGACTTCAGGTTTCATCTTGGGCCCTCACGCAGAGATTCCAAATGTCCTCATGGTGATGGTATGAAATCCTGCTCTGACCTCAGGCTGGGGTAGGGGGTTACAGGAGGGATGTGGTGAGCAATGGGCTGCTCCTGATTCCGGCAAGTTCTCAGAACCAGTGTGGTTATATACATGTACCAACTACCCACAGTGAATGTAACCATTGTGTACTACAAATGTATGCTAATAAAAATTTTAAAATAAGCCCCTATAGGTGCTTCATAAGTGAGGGATCGCCACAGGGAACATTCAGACAGGTATGTGTATATAGGCAGTGGTGTACACACCATGCCATGTGAAGGCACCTCTGTCACTCCAGCAGTGCCCATGTCAGGCTTTCTGGCTGCCACCCCCAGTGTCTCCCCAAACTGCCAGAGAGATGCTAGGGGTGGGATCCTACTTGGGGAGCCAAAGCTCAGGGCGTTGGGCGTGCTGAGACTGCGGCTGCCAACCCGGGCAGTGAAGGGGACATCATCCTCCCGTGGGTGGGACTCCTCTTCACTAGGTGAGGCCATCAGGCAGACATAGGTGTGCAGCTGGATGAGGAGCCGGCGCTGTAGCATCCATACAACCATCTGAATGAGCTGGGTCTGCAGGCAGGCAGCATGAGGCAGTGAGTGAGGCTCACCCCACCCCAGCCCCAGCCCTTCCCCAGGGCATGAAGGAGCCATGACCCTAGATAGCTCCAATAGAGTCTCTGGTGCTAAGCAGGAAGGCCTCTTACTTCAAAAAAGAAGCCTTTAGATGGTAGCCGGCTCCGCAAGGCCAGGAGAGCTCCCAGATCATACACACCTAGGTTTCTCGAAAGTCTCATGGAAGAGCATGACCTGGTATGTAGAAGCCCCTGTGTCCTCCCTTCACTAAGCTGACTTCCCTGCTCTGCCGCTCTTCCCTTTGGCCCACTGGGCCTGCTGCTGGACCCAGCTTGCAGTCCACTGCTAGGCCAGTCCATATACTTCAGAAAGAAGCTATGGGCAGCTATCCTCTGAGCAACAACTTGGATCTACCTGAAAGTCTGTCCTGGGCACACAGGTATTCCAGAAGGAAGCTGGGGAAGGGGATTCCCTGGTTGGGTGTGAAGCTTTCACAAGGCATCTCAAAGCTGGGCTCTCCATGTTTCTCTAGGTTGGACCTGGTGGAGCCCCAGTACCAATGACTAGTACCTCCCAGACACAGACATGGGAAACAAGGTGGATGCTGAGGGCACCAGGGTTATCTTTGGGAGGGTCCACAAGGAGCTGCTGACCAAGGACACCTCCTGGGAGAGGGCTGGGTTAATTGAGGAGAGAAGTGGGGGATATACATACTAACCCTAGTCAAAACCAAATAAAACTTGAAAGACTGTAAAATAAACGACATGAAATTAAGAAATAAAGCAAGGCTGGGTATGGTGGTGCATGCCTATAATCCCAGCACTCTGGAGGCTGAGGCAGGAGGAGCACTGCAAGTTTGAGGCCAGCCTGAGATAAAAAGTAAGTTCAAGGCCAGTCTGAACTGCATAGTGAAACCCTGTGTCAAAAAGACAAAAAAGAAAAAGAAAGACACAAAAAGAAAAGAAAAGAAATAAAGCAAGGACCTGGGCATCATGGTGCACACCTGAAATCTCAGGAGGATCACAAGCTCAAGGTCAGCCTGGGCAGTTTAGCAAGACCCTGTCTCAAAAATAAAAAAAATTTAGCTAGGCATAGTGGCATACACCTATAATCCTAACACTATAGGAGGTTCACACAAGAAGATTACAAGTTTGAGCCCAGCCTGAACTATATAAGAATCTATCTCAAAAAAACAACAAAATGGTCCAGTGTGGTGGCACACACCTGTAATTTGAGCACTCGGGAGGCAAGCCATGAGTTTGAGGCTAGACTGGGCTGCACAGTAAGTTCAAGATCAGCCTGAACTACACAATAAGACCTTATCTCAAAAAAATGAAACAAACAAACAAAACAATAAATAAAATAACAAAATAAAACAAAGCCTGGGATATATTTCAGTATAGAGTGTCTACCTAGCATTTGTGAGGCCATGAGTTCAATTCCCAGTACCACAATAAAGAAAACAAGAGGCTTCATAAACGCTAAACTATATGTCTTTGGGGCCTGGCAGAACTTAACCTGGCTCCACCCAGCCCCTGATAAGGTTGGGGGCTGCTGCTCAGGCATGGCCTGGAAAGTCCCTCCCATTATGCAGACTACTAGGAAGCTTTACTAAGATGGGAGCACCGCCAGCCCCTCCCCCATGCCGCTCAGGAGGGCGCAGATGCAAAGTGTCTTATTCAGCTGGCACGACCTGGCATGGTTCCTGGAATCCAAAGGCTCTATAAAAGATGACATTTAGAACTCTGTCACACTCAGCATCTAAATGAGCTGAAAAACCAGGACCTTATTTTCATTCACAACTTGAGAAGGGAAAGGGTTTGATTTTAAGGACTGTTTTGCCTGATTGATCTGGCACTTAGTAAGATAAATACTTTGGTTTTGGAGACAAAACCCTGAGAATATCCAGCCTGTCTCCCACACCTGGCCCTATCATCTGGCCTTCCCTGAGTTCCCCTCACCCCGAGTCTAGGCTGTCGGTGGAGGGGAGGGGCAAAGCCCAGAGTTTCCCTATCACTGTCTCAACAGGAAATCTGTGAAAAGTGACATCTGTGGCCCCAAGGCAAGCCACCAACAGCAAATCTATCCCCTACACTGCAGGAGGCACTGACAAACCCACCCTCAACTTGCCTGTCGCAGGTCACTGGGTAGATGCTGACCCAGGCTGGCCCACTGCCGGTCCTCTTGGATGAGGAGACTTCAGCGCCCAGTGACTCCAGGGCATACAAACACTGCAGCCCCTGCATGCCAGGGGGAAGGGGGACGGAGTCAAGCCCTCTTGGAGAGCAGGACCCAGGCTGGGTAAAAACAAAGTTGCCTTTCTGTCCTCCATCTGTGGGAAACCCCTAGGCCTAGAATAGGATTCTGTCGGCCCAGGAAAGGCCAGTGCTCTCCCACCAAGCTTAACTCAGTTCTAACTCCACGGATGCCCACTACAGCCAAAGTGGCTCTGTGGGTGGGAATGAGTACACCAGTGTTAGGTTCCTAACCAGCAGCTGGCCGCTGGGTTACCTGCCAAGTACACAGCACCTGCACAGCAAGTTCCCCAAAACAAAGGCAAAGGGGGAAGCAGTACTGAGGATCCTTGGCTCATGGATGGATGGCCAGGCAGTTGGTACCCAGTCCCCTCTGCATATCACACACCAGGCTCCGGGGCTTCTACAACTCACCTCTTGCACAGGCGGCGCCAGTGGGTTCCTGAACTCTGACAAGGAGACGGGCAACGAGAACTTGGCCAGGACGGACGGCAGGTCATGCGATGGGAACTGGCGGGAGAACTGCTCAGCCAGCGGAGAATACCTGGGGACAGCAAGACAGTGATCAGCCAGGAGTGCCTAGGATCACCCAGACAGTGGTGGGCACCACCCCAGCACCCACACCACAGGCCCTCGGGCAGCAGAGAATTTTAACTAGTGGGTGGGCCAGGATGGGCGGGAAAGGAAGAACAAGGCGAGTGACGAGGCAGAGCAGGGCAGACGTTCAGATGGACAGAGCCCAGGTGGCAGTGGCATGGGGCACCCAGAATCCCTCTCTGATCTCAGGTAGAAGCAGGTGCCCTGACATGGGCAGACCTACACAGCACTGAGCCAGATCAGAATCAGGATATGGGCACAGCAGAGGCCAGCCATTAGGCTGAAGTGGGAGCTGACCTCAGGGGCCCACAAGCCTCTGGTGCCTGGCCAACCTGGAGCACCACCTGGAAGGCCATGCTGGGCTCACCCTTCCCCACTCTGGGCTCCCACCTCTGGCCACTAGTGGTACTCACAAACACACGCTGGCATTGGGAGACAGCACGTAGACATTGTTCTCACACAGTGGGTAGATGATGACAGCCTTGCCCCAATACACCAGGTGAGCTGCAAGCTGGAAAACCTGCAGGCCAAGAGAGTTGGAAGGACTGAGCCTGGGAAGCTGTGGCTTCTCTGCCCTAGACAGTGGCCCAAAGCTCTCACAGCACAGACTCTGTGGCTGTGGCTCTCCAGGCCTTCTTCCTGATTCAGGCAGCACCTTACCACTCTCCTACCAGCACGCTGGGCAGAGCTAGTGCAGTGTGTCCTGGCTGTACTCAGAGCAACAGCTTTTTCATCACAGTTGCCTATGCTGTATGATACTACTATTTCCCTGCCAGGGTCCTAGCTCCTTCTTTGTTTTTGCTTTTTGAGACAAGGTCTCACTCTGTAGTCCAGGCTGGCCTTGAACTCACTATGTAGCCCAAACTGGTCTCGAACTTGCGATGATTCCCTTGCCTCGGCCTCCTGTGTGCTGGGATTACAGGTGTGTACCACAATGCCCAGCCTGTCTTGGCACTTTCTGAGGAGCAGCACTGTCTGTCAAACTCAGACAGCAAGCCATGCGCAGGGTAGATCAAGTTGAACAAGGGGCTTGGCTGAATGTCCCAGCAGAGGCACACACCCCTCTGACACCCCTCATGACCATGACCCCAGCATGGCCTCTACCAAGAAATAACAGATGTGAAGTCACTCCATGTACCACCCTTGTACACCCAGAGGCTCCACACTCATCCCTGTGTTCCCATCTTTCCCTAGAGAACACCATGCCATCCTGCTTTCCTGGGCCCTTCACCACCAGAAGACACAGACAGACAAATAAGCCAGAAATCCTCTCCAGGGGCAACCCCAGAGTACTCCCAGCTCATGAGGGAGGCCAAGTCTAACAGCACAGCACTGTAGTCCTTCATAAGGTGTGTGAAGTCTCAAGCGGTTGGCATTTCTGTCTGTGTCACCCACTCTATCTTCTCAAGAGGTGGGCCTCCACAGTGGTGAGTCACCCTGCCTGGCCACAGTGCCTGCTATGCTGCTAAGGACACATCTATATTCTCAGCACACAGGACTGCAATGGCAATGGCACCATCAACTCAAACACTGTGGAAATAAATATTAGGGAAGGTCCCATCCTGTCTTTTTTTGCACTCAGCCCAAGTGTCAGACATGAGCTCTCAAGCAGAGATATGCCGGGCCACCAGCTGGTTTAGTGGTCTTCATCCTCAGGTCTCTCTGCCCCTCTAAGAGGTTCTCCTCAAGACAGCTGGAGCACCATTCTGGAGAGTACAATTCCAAAATCAGCATCACAGGGCCAGATGCAGAGTTCTAGTAAAGCTGTGCTCCCGAGGCTCTAAGAGAGAATCTGCCCATAGCTCTTTCACCGGCTGGTATCCCTTGGCTGGCAGCCACATCACTCCAGTCTCTGCCTCTGTGGTCACATCACTTCCTTCTCTGTAGTCAAATATCACTCTGCCTCTCTCTTAAAAGGGCTCTTGTGAAAACATTTAAGGCTCACCAGTATAATCTTGCCATCTCAAGATCCTTGACTTCCTAACATCTGCAAAGTCCCACATAAGGCCACATCCATAGGTCCTGAGGACTAGGTTGTAGATGTCTGTGGGGGCCATCATTCAGCTGCCATGTGTTTTACCAGGCATGATGGGAGATGCTTGAAGTCCCAACTACTTGGAAGGCTGAGACAGGAAGATCACTTGAGTCCAAGAATTCAAGGTCAGCTTGTGCAACATAGTGAGACTGTGTCTCAAAGACTAAACATAACAAATAATGTATAAAAAAAAGAAAAAGAATATGTACACACATAAGAATCTGGATGATCTACAGCAGTTACTTCTGGTTTATGAGACTGTAGGGACTTTATAATTTGTATAATATTTGAATGTTCATAAGGGTTTTTTTTTTGACACTAGGGTTGAACCGAGGGCCTTGTACGTGCTAGACAAGCACTCCACCACTGAGCTACATCCTTAGTCCATTTCTGAGACAGAGAGGGTCTCACCAAGTTGCCCAGGCTGGCCTGTAGGTTGCAATCCTCCTGCCTCAGCTCTCAAGTAGCTGGGATTATAGGCACACACTACCATGCCTGGCAATTATTCTATCATGACAAAAAAATTTTTCACCCTCTTTGGGGTGAGATGGAACACAAGTGACTTTAAACCTAAGACAGCTGCTCCTTATAGAGCCAGAACTACCCTGGGACCACTGCTCCCCATACAACATCTGCAGGAAACAGCAGTCCCAGAAGTTGCCAGGAAAAGCCACAACAGCTGGGCCCCAGAGGGCTTCCACACAGATACACCAGCAGCAAACCCTGATTGGTGCCAGTCCAGCAGGGAAGGGGTACAGAAGGAAACAGCATCAAACTGCTTCCTCTGCCCCAGGCAAGGCAAGACAGGAAAGTGAAGGGAACATCAAAGGAACATCAAAGCCTTATCCATCGGACTCTGACAGCAGGGGTGAGGCGCATGTCCAGCACAGATCCATCAGCCAGCTCAGTCAAGAGTGGCTAGATCCTTTCAAAGCTTAAAATAGGACATGTAAACACTCACACTTACCTACCATAGCCAGTATGGTTAGAACAGACACCATGATCACTTATTCTGCAGGTGGAAAATTCTGGCCCTGCGGATGCTACAAAGCAGGTTGTGATCATTACTGGGTCCTGGTGGAACCTGGGGATATAGCTCAGCAGCACAGCGCCTGCCTGGCTGGTGTGAGATTGTGAGTTCGATTCCTGATATCAAAAAAAGAAGTTGGAACCTGCTAAGTACCCTCACACAGCAGATAAAGGGTCATGTGTACAGAGGATGAAAGAACTCATTCTGAACAAGAGAATCAGAAAAGGTGCTTGGAAAATACAGCCCGAGTGTCAGTCAGGCCTAAGAAGCAAAGTCCACCAGCAATGCCAACGCCTCCCTTGGACAAACCTCACAGATTCCAACAGAGCCAGAAAGCTCACCTGGGGGCTGGGGATTTAGCTCAGCGGCACAGCGCCTGCCTGGCAAGCGCAAGGTCATGAGTTTGATTCCTGGTACCAGAAGAAAAAAACAAAAAAGAAAACAAAAAAACAGAAAGCTCAGCTGGAGGGGCCTAAGCAGGCCTGCCTTGGGTGAGTGCTGCTCCTCAGCCCTTTAGGGCTGATATCACCTTGGTCTTTAAGGAACTTTGGTTTCAGGGCAGGCCTCTGCTGCCCCCAGGTGGCCAAGTAGCACACACCACCAGATCCTGGGTCTTTTACCAAAGGCACCAACCTAACCCTGGTCCTGCCCTCATGCTGTCACTTGGATGGCACCCACAGCCATAGCCATAGCCAAGGTTGCCTGATTAGAACCTGGATCCCTTGCTACCAGTTTCTTCTCATACTTCTCCTCCCCTGCCCCTACCACACACATCAAATAGATCCATGACCAAAGGGCAGCCCACAAGCACAAAACTCTCAAGAAGGTGGGTGGCATCTTATACAAAGAACAGCAGCTAGTGCATGTGCATGTGGTAGGGTGAGGCTACCAACTGAGTCCTGGTTCAGGTTCACAACTCATGTAAACTTCCAGCTTTCACTTCCCTCATGCTTGCTCATATGCCGTTGTGAGACTCCTATGAGCTGGCTGATACCCTGCATGCTCCTGCCTTTCCCAAACACCCCAGCCCTGGTGTTCCGTCCTCTCGACTTCTGCCCAGTACAGCAGGCACCTCTCTCCTTTCTCCCACGGTTCATCTTGCCTTACCTCCCCTTCTCTCAAGACAGGCAGTCCATGGCTAGCTCACCAAGCAGCCCTGCACCCAGGTCTGACTTAGATGCTAAAATCGGAAGCCCCTCTAGGAACCACCTAGGTCCATGGCAGACTGTATAGTAGCTGGGAATGGACAGAGACCCTGGGAATGTGGCATAGCTGATGGTCTGCTTATCTGGGCCTCCCACCTTTACTCGGAGGCCTTCTGTGCACGCACCCAGGGGTCACTCCCTTCTACTCATCCAGGTCCCCTGGCCCTACCTGCAGCAAGGCCAGGTCAGCATCCTGGGCTAGCTGCTGCAGGTTCTTCACAGCAGATGTGGTCTTGATCACCCGCACCAGAGCTGGGGAACAGTCGATGGGCAGCTCACTCAGCAGGGACTTCTCATCACTGAGCAACAGCAGGGCGTGATATGGGCTAGGGAGCAGAATCACAGGTCGTCAGGTCATGCAGAACCTCAGGGCCCCTTGGACCAAGTATGTTCCTAGAACATATCAAAGCACAGCTAGGGCCCACAGGCGTTGAACTGTGGAGGCTAAGAGAGGAATCAGAGAGAAAAGCATAGTGTGTCCAATTTATACAATTTGCAAGGATTACTGTTACTTTTTGGATAAAACAAATTAGCACAAAACTGGGAGGTCCTGAACACCTGACTCCATATCCCACCTCTGGCACTTCACAGCACACATTTGCTAAATAAGGATATAAATGAATCTTTCCTAAGGAATTAGTCTCAAACAAGGGAAAAGTGAAATCCACTCCACAGACTATAAACAGAATTACATAAAAATGTGCTTAGCAAAGACTCTGGGAAGGAAGGCATCTGACTTGGAGCATAGATGGGGAGGAGGGGAGGAGGACCAGGTAGTACTTTGCTTTCTGCATCTAGATTCCTTCCTTTTTTCTTTCCTTTTTTGGGGGGAGAGGGATACTGATGATAGAACTCGAGGCCTTCACACAATGAGCTACATCCCCAGGCCTTTTTTTTATTTTGTATTTTGAGATGGTCTCAGTAAATTACTAATTGCAATCCTCCTGCTTCAGTCCCACAGAGGGCTGGGATTATAGGCATATAGTACCCATGCCTGGCAGGGTTTTTTTTTTTTTTTTTTCAGCACTGTAGATCACATGATGATAGGCAAGTGCTCTAGCACTAAGCTAGATGCCCACACTCACATTTCTTCTTCTTCTTTTTTTTTTTTTTTTTGAGACAGGGGCTTGGTATGTAGTTCAGGCTGTTCTTGAATTCACTATGTAGTCCAGGCTGGCCTTGAACTTGCAGTGCTCCTTCAGCCTCAGCCTCCTGAATGCTAGGGTTATAAGTGTGTGCTATCACATCTGGCTAGGACATTAGTTAAGTACCTGAGATTCCGCCAGGCGTGGTGATGCACACCTGTAATTCCAGCACTTGGGAGGCTGAGGCAGGAGGATCTTTGCAAGTTCAAGACCAGCCTGGGCTACAAAGTGAGCTCAAGGCCAGCCTAAACTGTGCAGCAAGACCCTGTCTCAAAAAGACAAAAAAAGAAAAAAGAAAGAAAGAAAGAAAGAGAAACTGAGATTCCAAGATTTCTGACCCAAGCGCAGAGGATCATGGGGCAACAAGCACTATGAAGATAAATCCCCCAAAGGCCATGCTTGTCCCCTTGGTCAGCCACACAGCCTTCCCAGCAGGCTGTCCCTGCTCAGGCCCAAGAGAAGGACCCTGGCAGGAAGCCCCACTCACCCAAGTGGTGCTAGGAGGACTCACAGAAAACCTGGAATGGGTCATTTCTACACAGAAGTGGATACAAAAATCACGTGTTTTTCTTAATAACTGGCCTCTACCAACTCTTGTGGCAGGAAGAAGAAAAGAGAACTTTTGGAATAAAAGTAATAGGCAATGGCTCAGTAGTTACCATCCTTGCAGGGAATATGCAAATAGGGCTGGTTCTCACCGGATGGCTTTCAGGCTCCGTTCAATGGCCTCAGGAGGGATCAGGCTCGAGGAGGCATAGTGGATCTTGTGGGGCAAGCAGAAGCTCACTTCCAGCCAGCTGTTGATATGGAGTCGCACCACACCAGACGTACACAGGCTGCAGAGAGAGGGCACCATTACCAGTTCACATAGGTACAGTGTGATGTTTCTTTGGTTTTGGTTTTTTGTGGTTCTGGGATTGAACCCAAGGCAAGAACTCTACCACTGCCACATCTCCTGTTCCTATCAGTTCACATAGGAACTTTTTTTCTGTCTTTTTCAGACAGGGTTTCACTATGCAGTACAGGCGGGCCTTGAACTCATAGCAATCCTCCCACCTCAGTCTCCCAAATGCTGGGATTACAGGCATGTGCCACCGTGCCCAGTTTAGGAACTTTCTAAACATATGCACAGATCACAACACCCCATTCAAGAGTGCTTCCCCCACCACACTGCCCTGCTGGTTGGAGGAAACTTTAGGTGGAAACCTCATGGGCAAGAAAGTATCTTTTCAGATCTCAGTATACTTAAGAAAATAGGTTAGGAATATACACACACACGTGCATTTCTGGTTAGCTCTGGAATATATCCTCCAACCACCCTGCCAGAGCTCAAGAGAAGCAGCATCTTCTATCCTGGAGGCTCAATGCATGAGATGCACCTAATCAGGCCCTCTGCTAGTCTAGGCTTCTGGCAAACACCTGACACACAGAGTATGTCCTCCCTGAGAAGGGTCTTCCCTGCACACCTCATACAGGTCTAGTCAGCAACTGGCAGCCAGGAAGAGTAGGGCCTGTCTCCAAAGAGGAGGTATGCGGGGGTCAAGTTCCCTAGACAATTCTAGTGGTGAGAAGTACAAAGTATCCACCTTCCTGTACCTTGCAAGTTTCTGCAGGACTCCCTATGTAATGCATGTAGACAGCAAGCTGTAGATATAAAGGTGACTGTCTAACCCCACCCTGATACCACACCATCACACCACACCTTTCACTCCAAGATCTTTCAATGACAGCAATTCAGTTCCTTCAGGCTCCAAACTGTGCTCAGGCTAAAAACAACACTGTTCTTGACTCCTTGCTTATGAGCAAATTCTATCTGCTCCATCTGCAGGGATATCCAGAATCCAGATCTTTTCAAAGTGTCCAGAGCACCAGCCCCCAAAGATGTCCCTCCAGTCACTCACCTCCCAGCACCGTGGTTCCCATCCAAGGCCCTGCAACACAGAGCCCAATGTGATCTGCCCACATTTCTCTGACCTCATTTCCTACCCCATCACTCAGGTCTAGCTATTCTCACAATGCACTTGCCCTTGGCCACAAGCTCTTGTCCCGATGCCCCAGGGCTCTTTCATTCCTTCAGTCTCAAATGTCACTTTCTCAGTGAGGCATCCCGACCCCAGGCCCCACCAGTACTCTGACCCTTCTGCCTGCACTCTTGCCCTGGTCCCCAGATCATGGGATGCTGTCTGATGCTGTCTCCCTGACCACAACATGATCATGAGAAGGGGGTGGTGGGTTATGGTGCCCGCTCACTGCACCCTGGCATCAAGTTTTAGACATGTGGTAGCACTAAGAAGCATGGCAGGAGTGGAGGAAGGAGAGGGACAAGCTGTACTCCTGTGTGCACTGTCTTGTTTGCCCAGGAAGCCTATCCCTGAGAATAGGCTCCTCTGTGGTCTTGCTGGGAGTCCCTGGGGAACTATTCCCAGAAGGAAGAGCCAGCCCCTTCCACGGCTCAGCCAAACAGTCCCTGTGCTAAGGGCCAACAGTATTTGATGGATGACATTAAGGAATTGCAAATTCTCAAGCAAAGCCCCTGCAGCGGGTCCTCAGTTTGCCTCCAGGTGGCAGTACCATGAGGTCTGGCCTGAGGAAATTCCCATGCTCCCTTCAGCCTGCCTGACTCAGCCAGGCTGGAAGAGCCAAGGAGGCACACACCCTTCTCATCCTGGTAGGGAATGCTCCACAAGGCCTCCTGATGATAACTCAGTTCTCAAACAGCAGTAAAGCATATATCAGTTCTTCTCTAAGCTGCCAAATTTCTACCACGCCGCCCCCATCATGCTTCCTCTGTTTGCTACCAGCCACCCAGGCCAGCAGCCAAGAAGTGCTTTTCCCATCACTCCCTGACCCTGACTCTACTATTCCTGGCTCCCAGACGCCCACATTCAGCTAAGTGTGGAGCAGGCTAGGAGCTCCAGGAGGCGTGGCAGGGAGCTCTGCCTGGCCCAGGTCGGAAAGTGCAAATAGCTCCAGGCACCGAGAGGTGGCTAGTGGGGAGGCAGCACACAGTCCTCCCTCCTGCACCCACAAACCGTCCTTACAGCTGCTTCCCTGAAACCTCAAGCCACAGAATAACAGCCCAAGCTTCCCTCAGTCCTCTGGAGGGCTAGCAGTGGCTGTGGCCAGCAGCTTAAAATGCAAAAACAAGTCTTTATTCTCTCAAGCAAGGAACAGGCAATGGGGAAAGAAAACACAAGTAAAACACACCTGTAACCCCAATGGCATTTCAGCGTCCCTGCCAACACCAACCATCTGGTTACTGCCAAGTGTCCCATGACTCCCCAACTCTCCTGGTGTTCTTCCTCCAGGGCATCTGAAAACTTGTGCCTGTTTCTCCTAGGGCCTCAGCAACACCAAAGCGGGGTGCAGGGGAGGGAGTGTACAGGCCACAGTTGAGTCTGGAGGGTAAAGGATTGTCTAGTCCTTTGGGGAAAAACACACAAGAAGATTTGGCAAGTGTCAGATGGGTTTCCAGAGGAGAGTACTACTCTTGGTTTCTTTCAAACATGGCTGAGGATGCAAAAGACCTGCACCCGTCTTTGGCCAAGATCTTCGCTAGGTACAAAGCTCATATCAAATCCTGACAACACAGCTGAACCTCTTAAAGACTCAAAAGACGACACCATGAGAGATTTGTCCAGGGGACCAGATTAGATGTTCAACTTGACTAAGCAACAACTAAGATCTCAGCATCCACATGTGAAATGGAAGAGGAACAAGGGAAAAGAAGGTCCAATGTGCTGTGCTGTAGCTTTCTCCACGGAAACCACTGGGTAGGCTCTTCCACTTAACTTTACACATGGTCAAAAAGATGAGTCAAGGGCCAGGGACACAGCTTAGTGGCACAGCACCTGCCTGGCAAGCGCAAGGTCCTGAGTTCAATTCTTGGTACAAGAAACAAAACAAAACAAAAACAAACCAAAAAGACAAATCAACTAAAAATAAAAATTCTATTTTCTTTACAGTTCATTTTATTTTATTTGTACTTGCTGGTCCTTCTATCTTTGAACTGTCTCATTTATGGGGCAGCTTAAGCTAGTTGCTGGAACAACACAGAACCAGAATTAAACACCATTAAACACCGATTCTTACCATTTCAAACACAGCTGTTTCCGCTCCACCAGGGAGCTCAGCAAGGCTACACGGAGCAGACTGACTGAAAGGTGCTGAGGCTCCCAGCATTGTTTGAGATGCCACTCAGCTACTCCCAGCTCCCAGGGGGGTGGACAGGACAAGACACCCACACTCAGCTATGTGTATGGCTGTATCTGCTGCTAATGCTATTGCCCCGACGACAGCACACTCGTGAAAAAAGGCCTTGCATGGGGCTTTCACTCAGCAGCACTGGCAAAAACATATAATGATAAACTATACAGAATGTTTGAAACTGGAAAGAATTACAGGAAAAGGCACAAGCAAAGGGTGCAGGCATGTGCACAAGAGTAGGGGGATTGGGACAGACCCCATGGAAAGCCACAAACAACTGCCAGCTATGGTGAAAAGGAAACCAAGGGGACATTAAGGTCTTTGTAGCATCTGACCAGCTCAGACATATCTGCTATCCTCATGTCAGCTGACTTTGGATCTCCAGACCATGGTCTAGTTCACACAATGGTACAGAGGGAAATACATCCATGTCGATTTCCATATGGGCTTTATTTCACTCTCCCAAGCACCTGTTCACTCACCAGACTTTTCCCTCTGAACATGATGCACTGAGGATGGTTCCTCTTTATGAACTAACCAAGCGCTAAACTCTGTAGTGTGAAGACCCTGAGGGCCACCACCAGGAACACTCCAAGGGCCATTTATAGGCCTGGACAAGTCTCTGGAGCACCCCAGGAGGAAAGCTGCCTGCCTGACCTCCAGCCTCCAGCTCTGGGGGAAGCCCATACACTCCTCACAGCAAGAGCGTAAGCCAAGAGTCACACTAAAGTCTGTCAAGAAGAGGGAAGAGAAAAGTTTGAACTTCTTTCTCACAGTCTGCAGTTTTAAGACTCAGGGGTTTGGGCCCTCATTTCCTGTAGTTTCTACCTCTACTTTCAGGATGGTTTGATCTGAAAACAACTCTGTGGGAAAACATTGTCCCCCAGGCTTATCCGCACCTCATGCAGCCAGGAGAGCCCGCCCCAGTCTGTGACAGCAGATAGACACTCCTGCAAGAGCCCAGTGTGCTGACACGATGACTATGCACACTCTTATCTTTCACACCCGAGATGGACTGCACACATGCTTATCCAGTTCTCCTCTTGTTTCAGCACCTGAGAAAGAACGTCCACTCCTAACTTTCAGCTAATAACTGAAAGTTTGCCTTTTGGTTGTTTTGGTCATGCCCTTCCCATCCTAGGACAGAGCCCTGTAACACTGTCCCATACACTCTGCATCATCTGGTCACACACAAGGGCTAGGCTTCTTACTACATGTGGTGGGATGCTACAAGACCCCAGGGGTATCAGTGGGCTATAAGGGGCCTACTGTGAAATTTTGAACAGAAATTTATGTTCTTTATATTCAAATGCATTTTTTGACATAGGGACTGTAGCTTTCACAATACTTGTGGCAACATCACAGACCCAGGCTTGCCCTGAACAGTCAGTAGTGACAGACTCCACACCAAGCACTACCCATCTAGCCATGCCCTGGATAGTATTTCCTAAGCTCTGAGCTTGCCAGACCTGACTACAGGTTCTGTTAACACACAGAACCATTCAATAAACTAATTCTTCACCCCCATGGAACCCACATCATTACTTCTGCTATTACACATCCCTTCAACCATCACTGCACAAGCTATGCTCTTTTTTTTTTTTTTTTTTTTTTCCTGTCTTTTTGAGGCAAGGTCTTGCTATACAGTGCAGGCTGGTCTTGAGCTCACTTTGTAGCCCAGGCTGGTCTCAAACTTGCAACGATCCTCCTGACTCAACCTCCCAAGTGCTGGGATTATAGGCATGTGCCACCACGCCCTGCTAGCTATAGTCTTTCACATACTGAGCACAAGGGCTGTGTTGCAGAAAGTGAGGAGACATCCCTGCCCTCCTGGAGGATGCAATTTAGTGGTTACATGAATGAGTGAGATGCTGTCATTGAGGTCACAGAGCTCCACAGGGAGACAGAGATGCTGGGACAGCTGGGGTAGCCTCCTGAGGGATTTACATTCCCAGCTTATGTACACAGATGCTTAGGTCCCAGAGACAAGGCTACCAGTCTACTTAGCCACACCATAACCCTGGCTTGTAGTTAAAATAGCATATCCAAAACAATTCCTTTGAAGCAGTCCACTCCAAGTTTTCCTAACCTCATTAACTCTGACAGCTTCTTGTATTTCAGTTTTGCTCTGAGAAAACCTTTCCAGGGATCTGGACGAAAGTCACTGTCAGAAGAAAGGAGCTGTACTCTATGCTATCTTATCAATATTGTGCACTTAGTCTCCCCTCTTAGCATGGATTGGGCAGGCCCCGAAGACCAACCACAGACCCAGTGAAATAAGCATGGAGGGAAGTCCACAGGCCAGAGGGCTGTTGGGTAGCTATAGAGCTATGCTAGCATCAGGAAGGGGCAGGTGCAGGGGAAGATGCCAGCTCCAGGGCTGGCTGGGTGCAAGTCACCAGGAAGGAACACAATCCTAGACACTAACGAGCAGGATGCCCAGGCAGCGGAAGAATACCAGAGAAAGCCTGGGACTCTTTATCACCAAAAGTTTCAACTCTTGTCCTCCTCCGAACTATGCAACCCACTAGATGACCCTTGGTCACCTCAAGCTCTGAGCAGCTGCCCCACAGATCATAGAAGCAATCAGCTGACAAGGTCTTGACTCCTTCAAACCTTGCACCAGAGCCCAAACCTAAGAAACCCCAGACCATTCTTCCTTTAGAAATAAAAGTCACTGGCTTGCTTTTTCATTCTAGGTTAGCCTGAATTTTGCTTGCAGTTTAATTCTAGTTGAGGCACAGAGATTCCCACTCACAGTAAGGTGACAGTTGGCAAGGGAGGGATTTCTGATACTAGCCAATTCAAGACAAGAAGTCAACAGTTCTCACTGCAGAGAAAATGTGAGACAATGTGGAGAACAAAGACATGGTCCCATTACAGGGGCCACAAAGTACCTGCTCTGGCTCAGGAATGAGGCTGTACTGAGAGTCCTCCAGAGCAGAAAGGAAAGAAAACCAAAGCAGTCACTTGGCAAGGGCTGTTTCAGGCTGTCCTGAAGTCTAACAACTGGGAGGGCCACATCCAGAGGTCACATAGAAACAACGAACTACTCATTCCAAGTGATATCAGAACTCCCTCATTGGTAAGGCACCTGTATTTCCCCGTAAAAGAAAAGGGAACAAGAGATCTGAGCAGAGCACCCACAGAAATGAAAATACAGATGGTTCAAAGATGTGAAGAGATGCATAAATGCATTAAGATAACGTAGTACCAAGATATCACCCTCCTTCTCCTATACCAATTAAAATTCAAAAGTTCACCTCAAGACCCAGTTTGACAAAGCTAAGGGGAAAGGTACCTCATGTATTGCTGGAGGTAAATGGAGGCAAAACTCCCAGAAGGAAACACATCAATATTATACATGCATTGTATCCACTGATAAAGCTTTAGAAAATTATCTTAGGGATACAGAGGCACACACACTAATTAGCACACATAAATGCCTAAGTAGCTCATCTAACAGCAGCCAAAGGCTGCAACCAATTAAATGCCCAAGAGAAGGGGCTGGCTGACTATGTAGCCAAAAAAAAAAGTCCTTATTTACCAATATACACTGTTGAATAGCAAAAGCAAAGGGCAAATAGTATGTGTGATATGCTAATACTGTGTAAAAGGAGAAGCAAGTCTGGGTGCCTTCAGCCATCTGTGAGAGAAGACAGGTGACAGCTGCCTACTGGGGTGCATCCTGCCAGGGTACAACAGAAAAGACACTTGATACAGATTTTCAAACTAAATGAATATGAGACCTTTCCAAAAGCTGCAGTTTATAAAAAAAAAAAAAAGGAATAAGCCAGGTGTGGTGGTGCACACTCGTAATCCCAGCACTTGGGAGGCTGAGACAAGAGGACTGCCACACGTTGGAGGCCAGCCTGGGTTGCACAGAGAGTTCAAAAGCCAGCCTGAACTACACAGTGAGACCCTGTCTCAAAACAAAACAAAACAAAACAGAACAAAAAAATTTTTTTGTATGTGGTTCTGGGGATTGAACCCAGGACCTTAAGGAAAGAATTTTTTTAAAAAAGAAGCTGGTAGGGCTGGGGATATAGCTCAGTGGCATAGGCACCTGCCTGGCAAGAGCAAGGTCCTGAGTTTGATTCCCGGTACAAAAAAAAAAAAAAAAAAAAAGCCAGGCATGGTGGCACATGCCTGTAATCCCAGCACTCAGTAGGCTGAGACAGGAGGATTGTTGTGAGTTTGAGACTCGCCTGGGCTACAACGTGAGCTCAAGGCCAGCCTGAACTGCATAGCGAGACCCTGTCTCAAAAAGTCAAAAAAAAAAAAAAAGGAATGAAAATTACCCCCAAAAATGCTGATAGTGATTATTGCTAGATATGGAATTATAGGTGACTTATTTTCTTTACCATCTTCTAAGTTTCCTGTCTATTGAAACTAGAAAAAAATCTTAAATTTTTCAATGCCATCTATACAAAACTGTCACTGCTCATATCACACAGCCATGGACACTAAAGCTCACCAACCACAGTTCTCAGGTCAAAGCCCACCTTCAGGGGAATTCGGAGAAAGGAGAAAATTCACTGGCACGATACAAAGCCCCATGAAGGCCTGGGAGGAGCACCCAGGGGATATATGGCCACGGCAAATGTGGGAAAGCAGGAGAGTGTAGAAGGATGGTGAAGGCATAGAAGGCAGAAGACACAGGAAGAGGCCCAAGGTCACAGGGGAGTCAGAGGTACCGGGCCACATCTGTGCTAAGGAGAAAGGCCTGAGCCAGATATGCCATCTGATTAACAAAGTGGCCCCTTAGCTACAGGTGACAGGACACCCCAAGCACAGGTCCAGGCAGGCTATTAGTGGGCACTCATCCTTAACTGCAGCTTCAGGGCCAGGAGGATGCCCCGGCACCAGGACTCAAGGCCACCCAACAGTGGTCAGCAGAAAATCTTTAAATAGAAAAGGTCTCTTTTGCTGGCCCACATTTAATAAGCAGGTGCTCAGCCATAATATAATCAGATCAAAGTGAGGTTTTCATGGTATCCTTCATGCTGCCCGGTCTGCTACACTCAGTGTCCCAAACCGAAGCTCCCCTACAGCAGACAGCAGTGCAGCTGCCCCAACTGCACATGCTACATCTGTCTCCTCAAGGTGAGGTAGATGCAGTAACACCTGATGAGGAGGTGCCCAGAACCTGGCACCGTATAATGCTCAATAAATATCTCTTTTTTTTTTTTTTTTTTTTTTTTGTTTTTTTGGTTTTTCTCCGGTACCAGAAACTGAACTCACGGCCTTGCGCTTGCCAGGCAAGCGCTTTTGCTGCTGAGCTAAATCCCCAGCCCCAATAAATATCTCTTTACATTTCATGATTCAGAAATACTCTCAGGCTCTCATACACAACTTTAGGTTTGTCTTCAGTTTTAAGAGAAGTCTAGACACGACTGATTGTCCCACCTAGGGGGGTACACCACTCAGCAAAGAAAGTGTCACTTGAAAAATGGCCACTAATTTTACTTCCTCAAGAGTGGTTAGCGGGTATGGTGGTGCATGGTGGTGCACACCTGTAACCCCAGCACTTGAGAGGCTGACACAGGAGGATCACTGCGAGTTCAAGGCCAGCCAAGGCTATAAGGTGAATTCAAGGCCAGCCTGAACTGTATAGTGAAACCTTATCTCAAAAAGACAAAAAAAAAAAAAAAAGAGAGTGGGTACACAGCTGTTCCTGCCCTGTTCTTTCTCAAATCTCAGCAAAGCGCCAGCATCTGCACACCAGCACAGTGTCCAGCACAGGAGAGCCCCTGAGGGGGTGCACTTCAGTCCATGAGGCACGGGGAAGCTGACCCATGTACGAGGAGGAGCTTCAATGTGCAGTGCCCACTTGTCCTACCTGTCATAAGCTTCCTTGAGGTCTCTGGCCAGCTTGCACTTGGGCAGGATATGATGGAATGGAGACTGAGGACCTTCATTTGCTGTAAGAATCACAACACCGTAGGATTTAGAGCTTCCAAAGCAAAGAAACTTTCAAAGGCTAGAATAGGGAACACCTTTAAAACAAGCTCAACCTCAAAAATTTTGACCAACTCAAACTAAGCATCAGGAAACTCCTACTGCTTTTTATAAAAGCTGGGCATTTCCAAGTGTGGTAGGTGGCAAGTGCCTGTAATACCAGCACTCTGAGAGGATGAGGCAGGAGGATCCCATATTTCCAGCCAAGCCTGATCAACTTGGGAAGTCTCTGTCTCAAGCATGACAAAACAGGCATGTGCCACTGTACCTGCCAGAGCTGTTCTTTTTAATTTGTATGTGACAACTCCTGGTTTTATTTTTTACCCTGGCTACAAAGACTCGGCCTGACTTCAGTTCTATTCTTTAGTCTCCTTTTTAGATGGAGCTGCTAACTTCAGGAAAAGGTGGCAGAGTCATCAGTGTCCTTCCATACTAAAGCACCTTCAGGTAACCCAGACGTTACACAGTGATTTATCAGCAAAATTATTTTTATAATTGGTTAGTTGATAACTCAGGTAGGTCCTTTATCAATGTGGTTAAAAGTGAAAAATGGAAATGTACCTTACCAGCTGGATATACCTCCTGCCCCCAGGGCAGGGTATCTAATAGGTAGGTTCACAGCCAAGTAGAGGTGTCTGTCCTACATGAAGGGTGATCATACAGCAGTATGTGGGAAGAAGTATTTCCACTGGGAAATCAATGCAGGCATATCCACTTGGGAACGTGGATCAACATGGGCCCTTTGGGAAGTCTTCCTGTGCCCCCAGGACATGACCAGCCCAATATGAAGACCATGTTACTTCTCTGGGCTGCTGTTCCCATATCTGCAAAATGGGGACAGTCCTTGACTTATAAGGCTGTTTTGAGGATTTCCTCTCTAACAGTGCACCAAAAGCCGTAGTTAGGTCCTGACTGCTTTGTCGGTGTGGGGAGGGGCAGTCCCTGCCAACATTTGCACTGCTGACACTGACCAGCATCCCTCTGGAAATGTCCACAATAAACAGGCCATGAGGCAGCTCAGACCCATGATCATGCCCACTACGCTCACCTTCAGCCATAGCAGACACCTCATCCTGTAGTGCAAGGATCAACTTGGCCTCTCGGGTGAGGTACTGGCAGCGGCGCTCCTCATGCTGCAGCACAGTGGCAATGCGCCGGGACAGGTTGTGCAGACAGTTTATCACGGATGGGTCAGCATTGGCCTGCAAGAGAGAGGCCACACTGACTCAAATGTGTGTACTGGGGCGGTTTAAAAGGAGGTAATACTGTGCACAGCAAAAATTTAAACCACAAAAGAAAACCCCACTCCTCTTCTCTAGGCTGTTCTCCAGGGGCCACTACTGTCCAAATTTCCTAAGCCCCCTTCAGAGTCCCGCCACAGAAATGCTGGCTATCAGCCCCCATCTTCTATTCACGGTCCTGTAGGAGTTCCTGTGGGGGCACACACACCTCCACTGTGCCAGGTCTGTATAGAAAAGCAGGGGGCAGCAGAGGGCACAGATTCGGCTACTTACCTGTTGTGCGATCCTGTGTCACAGGTCCTCATGTGAAGGACAACAATGGCACTGCCCTTATCCCTGAGTGAGTACATGAAATCAGTAAGATATGTAAAGAGCAAAACCCTGCAGATGTCTGCGACCATGGCCGTACTGCTGACTGTTGGTGGCCATGAATGGCTGACAGGAAGAATTCAGTCACAAGAGGGCGTACAACAACAGGGCACACAGTACAATAACAGAAACACTACGCTAGTTGTTCAGTGAGTATGTTCTGTCCTCAAGGATGAGAAATTCTGGGCAGAAATTACCCCCATTAACAAGAGAACCAGAAGGCTCTGGGCCCACATCCCTACCCCAGTGTTCTTCTGCACTAGGTCATGGGAGGATGCCAGAGGCTGTCAGAACCAGGAGGCCCCCTGGAACCTATCAGAGGCCACAAGTGGCCAGGTAGGTGTACCCACCCAGGCCAAAGGTGGAGTGTGGGTCTGTGAAGATGCTTGAGGGAGCAGATAACTGAGCCAAGCATGACTCAGTGTTTCAGGAGGCAAGCGGGCTGCTGAATCATCCCATGGGGTGGAGGGGGAGAAGGGAGAGGGACGCATGGTGGCACTGATTAGAACCTCTGGGTCTGCCTCCCCGTTTATTTGGTGGGTAGGACCATGCCTGGTGAGTGTTCATAATCACACTTCAAGATGAAAGCCATTAAACACTTTGTTCATCTGGAGTTGGAGATTTTCTGTATTCTCAACAGACCCCATGTTCACAGACAACTTGCATCTAGGGGGTCCTACAACAAGGCAGCATGTTCTCTATTGCTTTTTTTTTTCCTAGTACTAGGGAGTAAACCAGGGCCTTAGCATGGAGCTACAACTCCAGCATGTTTTTATGATTTTTTTGAGACAGGGTCTCATAAAGTTGCTCAACTGCTCAGGCTGAGCCAGGTGTGGTGGTGCACACCTGTAATCGGAGCACTACAGAGGCTGAGGCAGGTGGACTGGCACAAGTTTGAGACCAGCCTGGGTTACATACTGACTTCAAGGCCAGCCTGACCTACATACTGAGACCCTGTCTTCAAAAAAACAAAATTAAAAAATAAAAAGTTGTCCAACCTGGGCTCACACTTGTGACCCTCCTGCCTCAGCCTCTCAGAATGCTGGAATTACAGGGGTATGCTACCACACTCAGCTTCCTTGCTGCTTTTATGTGGCAGTAATCAATCTATACTTTTCAAGGTTCTGGCCTTGTCCCCATTTCTCATCTTTCATAGCCATAGGAAAGGCTAGTGTAGAGTAATAACCAGTGTTTAATCACTTCCCAACAGTAAAATTATTTCCAACTTCATTATTATTATAGAAACTCTCAGACAATTGTAAGTACTGCTTGCTTTCTCAACAATATTCCTACTGGTAGGCTGCTGGGCTAAGTACATTGTATACTCAGCTGTCTAATGCTGTTCCTCACAGAGAAGCACCAGCTTGCATGGTCCCGGGGTGGACAAAGGCTGCATCTCACTGTCCTACAGGTGTTATTGGTATTGACAACAGGGTGGCATTTGTCATAGTTTTTGTTTATTCACTTGCATGGTTTTTTGGTCTGTTTGTTGGTTTGGTTTTTTTTTTGTTTTTTTGTTTTTTTTTTACTTTCGCTTTATAGCTGCTTGCATTATGTAATTTATGTAAGAAAATATAAGAATACTGTAAAAATACTAACACCGTGGAAAAGCCTCAAGCAGAAAATGAAGATTGACTTCTGGAACCTTGTGCCTGGAAATGACATCATTAACAAATCATTTCAATTTTGTTTTGTTTTGTAGTGCTATGGGTCAAACTCTAGCCTTGCACATGCTAAGCAAGTGCTCTAGCCCAGACCTATACCTTCAACCCATTTTGGAGGTTTTCACCCCTGGCCTTAAGCACGTTAGGCAAGTGCTCCACCACCCTCAACCCTGAAAAATCTTTTGTTTTAATCTGCAATTCTTCTTTTTTTTTTTGGTCTTTTGATACAGGGTCTCACTATGCAGTTCAGGCTGGCCTTGAGCTCACTTTGTAGCTCAGGCTGGTCACCCACTCACAATGATCCTCTTGCCTCAGCCTCCCAAGTGCTGGGATTATAGGTGTGCACCACCACACTCAGCTGCAGTTTTTTATTTACCAAAAAGCCCAATTTTAAGAAATTAAGCTCTATTTAAAAGGGCTTTTTTCTGTATCATTTTGATTTGAACCATTTACAGTGATACCTGCATCTCCACACCAAATAAAACTCAATGGAAAAGAACACTTTGAGACAGAAAATGGCATTTAATTGAAGTTTCCTGTCTCTGAGCATTTTCAGAGCACACACTACCCCTTGTCTCCAAAATCCAGTGATTTCTTATTGTTACTTTTCTTGGTTTTTTTTCTTAACCTAAATACTAAGGATTTAGTTTAGCAAAAACAACTCATACATTAATATCTTTTATCTTAAAAGAAAACACAATAACACATGTCCCAGAGGTTCGCCACTATGCTGTTACTTTCTGTGCATAAGCTCCTATGCAGATCATGTGTGCCTGCCTAGAAAGAATTACTAGTGCCTGGTGAGATATTTCAGAAAAATTTCATCATTTAGTAAAGCATAAGTTTCCTTGGTATTTCAAAGTCCCTTCATAACATAAGCCAATCTTTACCCATAGGTACATTTCTGTTAATTTAGATCCCTTATATTTTGACAGGGTTATTTGTTTTGTTTTGGTTTTTTGTCTTTTTGAGCCAGGGTCTACCTATGCAGTTCAGGCTGGCCTTGAGCTCATTTTGTAGCCCAGGCTGGTCTCGAATTTGCAACAATCCTCTAGCTCAACCTCCCAAGGGCTGGGATTACAAGCATGTGCCACCACCCTGATCACTAGGTTCATTGAAAATGCATTTTCTGTGATTCATGAAAACAACCTCAGTGCTACAAACTACCTTAAGAAACAACTAGGCTTAATTAAAAAATGGAAAAGAACATGTATCAGTGAGGATGTGAAGAAACTGGAGTCTTCATTCTTTGCTGGTAAGAATATAAAACAGTCCAGCTATTATGGAAACAGTATGAAGGTTTCTCAAAAAGTTAAACATAGAGTTATCATATGACCCAAAATTTCACCGAGTCTCTATCCAAGAGACATGAAAACTTATACACAAATTTTATAGCATGATTATTCATAATAGTCAAAATATAGAAACAATCCAAATGTCTACCAACAGATAACTGAATAAACAAAGTATGGTCAACCAATACAATGGAATATGATTTGGCCATAAAAACGAGTTCTCAGTACATACTACAACATGAATAAACCTCAAAAACTTCGTAAGTGAAAGAAGTCAGATGCTAAAAGTCAGGTACTGTATAATCCTCTTTATATGAAAAATGCAGACTAAATCCACAGAGACAGAAAATAGACTGGTGGATTCCAGGGGCTAGAGGGGAAGGGACAGCGGGAAATAACTGTTGATTGGCTGATGGGTACAGTAGTTTCCCTTTAGAGTGGTGAAAATGTTCCAGCTCTGGAGAGTGGTGATAAGAAGTGAGATAGGCGGTGACAGGGTGGTAAATATCACAAATGTACTAGATGCCACTAAACTATACAGTTTAAAATGTTAAATACGTCATATGTATTAAAATAAAGACGGAGGTAGGCGTGATGGGGCATACCTGTAATCCCAGCACTCTGGAAGGCTTAGACAGGAGGATCTTATGTTTGAGCCCAAATTGGACAATTTAGCAAGACCCTGTCTCAAAATAGTTTTTAAAAAAGGCTTGCTGGGGCTATAGCTCAGCACAAAGACCTTAGGTTCAATTCTCAATGCTACAAAGAATAAAAAATTTAAAGATAAAGTTGAGTCCATGAAACACGCACTGGAAATGGGCTCCTTTCCCTTCCAACCCTCCTCCCTGACGGAAACCATTTATACAAACACTCACCCGCAGCGCAAATACCACATTAAAAAGAATCATGGTAGGTGCTTCCCTCTTCGGGGATGGATCTGTTTTGGAGACCTGTAAAAGAAGCACTGATTCTAGTAACTTGAGAGCAGTGACTTTTCAAGGAAATCTGCTTAGTGCCATTCTACTTCAAGCATGGGAAAAGGCTTGAGTACAGCAGAGCCAGAGAAAAGCAGCCTGGGGTCTCTGAGCAGTGGTTGCCCTTTGCTCTAGCGATGTGCCCACTGCACAAACAGAGGAGTCACAGCTCTGACCGGAGCGGGGAGGTCGGTGCTCCGACTGCCCTGGTCAGTGGAGGCAAGGTAACTGTGCCCAGAGAAGGCGGGATGGAAAGAAGCTCAAGTGAGTGGCACACCAGACCCATACCCTGCTGCTCTCCCATGTCCACCGGTGTCTACGCCAGCTGTCTCTGCCAAGCACAAGTACTCAGACCATTTAGAGATAGGGCAATGGTCAGGGTCAACAAGGGCCTAAGCAGGCCCTGTGAGACAGACCAGACAGGCTCACTTCACAACCTAATTCTTATCTCAGGTCTTAGCTGGACACCCAGCAGCTTTAGTCAAAAACACCAAAGCCCTGAAATAAAGCTAAGGGGCACAATAGAACTCTTCACAGCAAACTACAAGTGCCACCACTAGGGGGGCGTCAGAGCATGAGGCCCCAGTTCTCTTGCCTGCCTGCCCCACAGGGAGTGACTGCTGCGGGATGGCTTCCAATTCTTCTATCCCTCACCCACAGATAAGAGAGCCCTATCTGTGAAAACACGGTGAGGAGGGAGGCTGCCATTCAAGGGGCTCGACATATCTAACTCCCACAGCTGCTCCTTCCATGGGCTTCATCACAGAGGGTTCACACATCACAACGCACAGAGTCACTCAATTTCTGGGTGGTATAAATGTAGCTAAATCCTGTATGTTATACCAAAACCCTTCAAAATCTGAGTAATGCTATTACTGACCTTGCTTGTGTGCAAGGGCTGAACGGGAGACTCTGTTACGCAAGTTCCCTTGGAAATTGTACGTTCTACCTTGCTGATACTCTTCCCTAACATTCATCAGAGAACATATACAGAAGGTTTAGCACAGTAAGTGCTAAATAATAATAATTTCAGCTAACAGAATATTACTTAGTAAGAAGAAATGCTTGCATCATTTTGTAGGAAGTTCAGGGTTTGACACATGCTGGTTAACTCACTCTCTTGGAAACCTATACCCCGTATAAAGGGAAGATCACAATCATTAGAGACCCAAAATACAAACAATAGAAGCTAATGGTAGGGGGCTGCAGGTGCAGCTCAGTGCTACAGCGGTTGGCCTCCCATACCCAAGGCCCCAGGGTTCCACACTAGCAAGGCATTTAAAAGAAAAAGGTTGTTGCAGAGACTGAAGTAACTGCGTACAAGGACCCCCAAGGCCCATGAAGATGCAGAGCTCTTGGCAAGTGCCTGATCAGATCTGCTGCCCGGTGGCTGACTTGCACAAAGCCAATGTCGAGCACAGTTCAGAGGCCTCCAGAGCAAATGGGTCAGGCTTGCCTGCGCAGAGAGAGCCCTACCTGTCCGAGAAGGACCACACCTGCCAGGGAAGGCCATACCTGCCCCAGAGCATGCTGCAGCAGTGTCGGGTGCCCAACAAACCGCACATTATCGATCTTCAGTTCAAATTTTTGGCCGCACATTTCAGACTTGGTTGCCAAAATTGTTGCCAGAATAGCATCTGAAAACCTTCAAATGAAAAAAAGGTAGGATGAAAGTAAGTTAACATAGCATCACTGCACCACTCCCCAGTACCTCCAGAAGGGAGGCTCTCAGTAAATGGTCATCTGTGGCTCTGCCCCCAGCACTGATGGACATTTCTGAGGCCCCCAGAAATGTGGCACTCTTGCAGCAATCCCAAAGTTAGGGATGTAAAAAATCACCAGAATTACAGGTAAAAGGCACGAGAAGCACAGGCTCAAGGCACATGCTGTCATTCTTGCATGCTCTATGAAATTAGAGAAACAGCTGCAGTTTGCACTTAAAAGAAGGATCGGCTGGAGCTGGCACTGCCCTGAGAAGCCACTCATTAAGGCTTACAGGCAGAGGGGCCTCTCCTAACTATGCGCATGTTTGCTAGACTACATCCTGTCCATCACACAGCCTCTCCCCTACAATGCCATATAATATATGGACCAGAGGATACCACTCAGATGTGTGTGGTGTGTTACTTTCTTCACATCATAGGTGACAGCCCTTCCCTTACCCCAAACAACTAAACTTTTCAGTTTGTATTAAGAAAGGAATTCTGTGCAAGGCATGTAGATCCACTGTGTTACAGGAGTTCACGGATAACCACAACTGACTGCCATGAGGAAGTGGGAACAGCTGGGTGTGGGTGAGACCTCACCCTTTCCAAGATGCAGCTGTACATCTGCCTCCCTACTGGCAGTCCAGATCTGTCCTGGCTGGGGGATGCCGATAAGCGAGAGCCACCTGCAGGGAGGAGCATACTAGCATGTGGCTGCCTCTTATCTCAGAGCCCAGGGCCTGAAGCCCTCCCCCCCAGAAGCACAGGTAAACTGGACACATAGTTTCTGATCTGGACCCAGAAGGGAAAGAACTCCCCAAGCTCATCTAGCCACCAGAAAAGGCATTTCTAGTATCTCGGTCAGAAGGGTTTACAATCTGTGGCAGGTAGCTCCAGCTTCCCCAAGGCCATATTGCGCCACATGGGCAAGAAGAATCCCCACAATTCTGAAAGAGACCACTAGGGACAGATAGTGCAATGGTCATCTGTGGGCCCGCTTCTCTCCTGGATGCCTTCCTGATGAGGAGAGAGGGAGATCAACATCATAACTCTTCCATTTTATGATTAAAAAAAAAAAAGAGGAAGGCTAGCTTTGAAGCTGCTGCAGCTCAACTTTGCAATGGCAAATGACTATGGGGTAGAACACGTCTAGAAAGGGGACATTCAGTTCAGGAAACCCTGAGCCCCCAAACTAACCAGATACAGAGGATTGGTCAGCGCAGGCTGCCTTGTCTCTAGCATAGTCAGGTTACAGTCTAACTTTTCAAAACTAATCTTGTCAGAGATAAATCTGGGACCCATAACTGAGTCCTTCACTTTCCCTCCTGGTAATACTCATCTCTAGAGAGACTAAACCAGACACAGACTATTTCAGAACAAAGGCATCACTAATTTTCTTCAAAAACTATACATGGCTCACTCTGCCCTGTAAGTCCTGCCTGAGGGACACAGCTTCCAGGCAGTAAAACTTTACCAAACATTTCTGTTCTAGCAATTGACCTAGTGCAACATTTTATGTCTCATTAATAACAAATAAACAGAAAAACAAACCAACAAAAAAGCCTACTTTGCCAGCCAGTGACTCAGGACAGAGATAGCAGGCAAAAGTCTCCACCATTCCAGAAAGCTCACTTGCTGGGATGGCAAAAAATCACCACTAAAAACAGCGGCTCTGTGTTGGAGAGTCACAGACATATCTCATCCTGGCCCCTTGGGCACCAATCCCGGGACCCAAGTTACTGTGACTATGGGATGCATTCAGGGAGTCTCAGAAGTAAGCACTGGAAGCGCAACTTATATCCATAAATACCCAAATTCCAGCGTGCCCTTGTGACAGTCAAATAAAAAGCTCTTTCCCCTCAAAGGCCAGGATCCAAAGAGTGAGTAAACTGGCAGACCGAGTGCTGTTGAAGTTAAAAGTTACACTGCCTTGAGTGACCATCTAGGGAAGCCCTTCTGAGGTAGCCAGCAGGGTGGAGCTGGTCACTCAACTTACAGAGCAAATCTGGCTCATAAAGAAACCCACTTTCCAGAATTTAGTATTACAATTTATGATGAAAAGATGCTTGTGTGGCTTTATCATTTACATGGTGTCTGTTGATATAACATGCAAAAAGACAGTTACATCATGAGAGTGGGGGAGGGGTATTAATCATAACAAATCAAACTGTAAACAAGTGACAATATTTATTTTTTGTTTCCAAAATTTACAAAAATCCTTTTGATGGCGACAGCCTAGTAAATGTACTATAACATAATAAAACAGATGTTCCAAAAACTAAAGATCTCTGGACTAACTTAGAAACTCAAGAAAAGCACAGGGAGATGTAACCGCCCAGCTGGAAAAGAGGTCAGGACTTCTATTCTTGCCAAGATATTCTGGAGTAGGGCTTGTTCTCTAACTTAACCAAAAAAGGGAAGAAGACAGATTCTGGAAGAGAACTCAATGCTGTTCCCCCATCTGCCTCCTTCCTGGGAGCTCATGAATGCTGGATGTACTTCCAAGACCCAAAGAGGATGCCCTAGGGTGGAGGTGTGTTTGGGGGTGTCCCACTTCAGCCACGCTTTCCTACATAAGCACCGTATCTACTCCAGGAGAGCATTTTTGCCACTAGCGAGCATACCCAAGCACATCTAAGTCTCAGCATTATGCTTAAAACCCAAACCTTGGGAGATCCCATCAAACCCCCTTGAAAATTGCACAAGAAGCCTCAATCACAGGTCTCGGTGTGGTAGTGGAACAGAGATGAGAAACCCCACTTCTACTTATGACTACTGGTTCCTGCTTGGGGGAGGAGATTTACATGGCATAACTGGCCCAGAAGTCTCTCTAGTGCCGGCCAATCAAGCCTTGGCCTCTGGGTAATATGAAACAGCTAAATAACTGAGCAGAGAAAGGGCAGCCATGGCCAAGTCTGGGTTCCTATAAGGGGACTTCAGCAGTGAGGTCCAAGCTAGGGCCCATGTGCCTCATTAGTCATTCTTTGATACTCAGAGAAATCAGGAATTAAGCACAATTACAAGAAAAGAAGGCAGCCAGAATCAAGACAGAAAGATGGTGGAGAGGTTTCAGTCTTACCCTGCAACCAATTGCGCATTGGTTGGAGGACATGGCTCGCTGAAATGGGAACAGCACCATCAAGACAAAACAAAAACATTGTTTTTTTTAAAAAACATGAAAACCTACAATGTTGGATTTTTTGTTGTTGTTGTTGTTGTTGTTTGGGGATTTTTTTTAAGGGGGGGGTTGGTGTTTTTTGTTTTTTGGTTTTTTTTTTGGTCTTATTGAGACAGGGTCTCGCTATGCAGTTCAGGCTGGCCTGGAGCTCACTTTGTAGTTCGCTATGCAGTTCAGGCTGGCCTGGAACTCAAGCTGGTCTCGAACTCGCAAAGATCCTCCTGTCTCAGCCTCTTGAGTGCTTGGATTACAGGCATGCACCACCACGCCCAGCCCTGGGGGTTGGTTTTTTGGTTTTTTTTTGGGGGGGGTGTTGGTTTTTTTGAGGAAGGGTCTTGCTATGTAGTTCAGGCTGGCTTTGAACCATCACTTTGAACCTGGCTTTGAATGTAGCCTAGGCTGGCCTCCAACTCAAGTTATCTTCCTGCTTCTGTCTCCTGAGTGCTGAAATTACAGGCATGAGCCACCACACCTGGCTTACAATGTCGTTTTACAAAAACAGTATTAAAGTATAGCAGAAGTATCTCCATTAAGTATTAACTAAATAGGGGCAGGGAATTTAGCTCAGCGGCACAGTGCCTGCCTGGCAAGCGCAAGGTCATGAGTTCAATTACCGGTGGTGGTGGGGAGGGGGAGTATTAACTAAGTGTCAAAGGTAACAACTTACCAGACAAGAAAGAAGACAGACATTCCCCATGATGAACACTCAGCATAGAGTTTCCTAATGCCCAAATTTTCACATATATACGGATGGGAGGGAACAAGGTCACTTTTAAGAAGCAAGCAAAACACTAGAAGGCCTAGATCAAACCCAAGTGGCACAAAAATTCACTGGACATCTGGGTACAAGTATCTAATCATCACAAGAATAGGTCTCTCACCTGTATGTTAAGAATTCATCTGTGGGCCGGGGATATAGCTCAGCGGCACAAGTGCTTGCCTGGCAAGTACAAGGTCCTGAGTTTGATTCCCGGTACCAAAAAAAAAAAAAAAGAATTCACCTGCTTTGGACCAAGTAAGAGCCTTACAGTTTGTAAAAGCCTTCTGAAAACTGTAGTGCCACATGAATTTATCAGCTCAGTTCCTGAGATACTGTGATTGCCTGCATGGCTGATATCTCTGCCCCTCTGCCTAGAGCAGTACGGGGGTCACGGCAGATCTGCACACACTTGTGTCGAAAAACATCTAGGACACGATCAGACTTAAGAAACGAGTTTAAGAATCTAATTTATATTTCAATTTTTATTGTGAGAAATGTTACTTTGTAAGTATCCTGAAAACAGAAAGGAAATCCAAATGCTAGACAGAAACAGCATGGGGGCCCAGCCATAACCACTGTGCCATGCTGCTGCACCCCACTGGGCTCACTAAGGAACAAATACTGCCAAAGACCCTGCAAGAGAAATATACAAGAAAAAAGAACTTTCCCTCAGAAGCTCCCAAACTTTCGCTCATTGGGTTGTACAGTATTAAAAGGATATTTTGTGGACTTTCCCCAAATCACCCAGAAAGTCAAAATCCTGGAATCTTAGTTGTTACAAGTCACAGTGCAACCCTTTTGCCTCCAAAGAGAAGTGAGCAAACACACAACCTTCAAAATGTCAGCAATGTTCCGTTTTCTGGTGGAGAGTCTACCTCTTTGAGGGAGGCAGGGCCATCATCACTCATGGAAACGTGGGTGTTCCTATGATGGCCAGATCTGGGAGCCATAGGGGAGGTAATGCCCCAACTTCACCAACCTTACAGAACACAGGAAAACTAAGGACCAGTCTACAGAACAAGCCAAGAGCCCACATGGTAGGATGCAGAGCAAGAGTCAAACTTGAAACCCTGAGCCTGCACTTGCCCCAATATGCTATCCTTCCGTGTGGACACACTGCCTAGGCAGGGGAAAGGGTGGGAATGCCCAGGTGTGGTGAAAACACTGCTAGTCCACTCTGTGTAACAATCTCCGCTAAAGGAAGGAGGGGACATGTTCTAACATATTTAGAGGTATCGGGCTCTAAACATCCTGGTAGAGGCCCTGGTGGAGCCCAGGTGTGCCAGGTGGGAGGAGAACCAGAGTGTTGGACTTGCCTGACCAAAGACACCATGTGGGCTAGGGCCCAACTGCACCTACGAGCTGAAGCCACTGCTGAAAGAAACATGGCCAAGCTCTACAGCCCACACAGTGGCATGCATGAGTCACAGGGCCAAGATGGAACCTATTAGAACTCTGGGAAGGTCTTCCAGATTGTGTTTAACCTACAATAAGTTCAGAACATTTTGAAACTAAAAGAGTAATTCTTCTCTCAAGTCTCTAGCTCCCCTCCTCTGAGGCAGTATCCAGATGGCTGCTCATAATCTTGGAGAGAGGGACAGAAGATGGCTGTCCATGCTGGGACGTAACCACACCACCTTTTTGGATTCACCAGGTGTGATGGCTTATATCTATTCTTTTTTTTTTTTTTTTTTTTGTCTTTTTGAGACAGGGTCTCACTCTGCAGTTCAGTCTGGCCTTAAGCTCACTTTGTAGCCTAGGCTGATCTGGAACTTGCAGTGATCCTCTTGCCTCAGCCTCCTGAGTGCTGGGATTACAGGCGTGCGCTACCACACCCGGCTTATGGCTTATATCTAGATGTACGCCCAAAGACACATCTATTCATAGGTGGGGAGTTTCAAAGGTGGCTGGATTAGGGTGTGATGCTGGATTACAGGGAGGATAATAGAAGCCCCACCCTGCCTTTGGGTGGCACCAATCAATAGGCTTACATCATGGATGAAATATAGAGACAGAAAAGAAGGCAGGATGCTGCTGCTTCTGCTTGGTGATTTGCTGTTTCTTCCCTGCCTGCCATGGAGTACGTTGCCTCTGCAGTGCCCCTCTGCCATGCTACCCTGCCTTGGAGCCAGCTCACTATGGCCTGAAACCTCTACAAACTGTGAGCCAAAATAAACCTTTCCTCCTTTAACTTTGAGTGTTGGGTATTTTGTCTCAGCAACGACAGAAGTAACAGGAACACTAGAAACTTTATGAGCTTGAGTTTCGAGTCTTAGAGACAATGGAAAATACCCATTTTCTTTTATCCTTACTGAATTTTTTTTTTTTTTTTTGGAGACAGGCTCTTACTATATAGTTCAAGCTGGACTTGAACTCATTATGTAGCCCAGATTGGCCTCGAACTCATGGTGATTCTCCTGCCTCAGCCCCCTAAGTGCTGGCATTACAAGTGTGTGCCACCATGCCTGGCTCTTACTGAATTCTAGAAAGAGTTGTTTAAAAAAAATGTGTTAACAGTTAACTCTAAAACCTGAAACATATCTTCAAGATACGTATGATAAAACCAGCTGGCTCTCTGAACCAGTGCTATCCAACAGAACTTTCTACAATGACAGAAATATCTCAAATCTGCACATTGAATGTGGTGGTCCCTCGTCCCATATAGCCACTGATCCTGAAATGAGAGTAGTCCAACTAAGGAGCTGGACTTTTTATTTAAGTTCAGTGAATTTCTACACAAATGGCCACATTGCCTAGTAGCTACTAGACTGAGCAGCACAGTCCTGTGTCCTCACTCCTCTAAGACAGGCCACCACCACTCAGAGGTTAACGGTGTTTCAACCTTGCAAAATGACAACCAGGGGGGCTGGGGATTTAGCTCAGCGGCAAAGCGCCTGCCTCGCAAGCGCAAGGTCGTGAGTTCAGTTCCCGGTACCGGAGAAAAACCAAAAAAAAAAAAATGACAACCAGGAACACTCTGAGGGTTCCAGAAAGAAAAGCGCCTTAGAGAACCAGAGTCAAGGAAGACAAGGGTTCGCTACATCACCGTCTTGCTTTAGAAAGATACTCTGAGCTGGGAGGGCCAGGGTCAAAGGGAGGGCCTGCTAGATCCCTGCAACAACACAGAGCGGCAGTGAATTGGGATCTTAAAGGAATCAACCTGTATCTTGAAAACAGCAGAGTGAAGAGTGAGATCTACAGGTGCTGTAATGCATTACAGTTACCAAATGAAGCAATTCTTTTTTTTCTTTTTGCAACTGTTAAGTTTAATAAAAGAGATTCTAATGAGAAGCACTTCCTCTCTCACAGTTTCTCTCTTCATTATGTTAAATACTGAATTAATGCACCAGAAAACACCGTCATGGTCATTTCATTGGAAGTCTTTGGAAATTAACTGCAGAACCAGATGCTGCTGTCTGAATTATTCCAAGCTCTCTGTGAGTCTTCACAGCCTGAGCCTCATGTCCACTGCAACTTGGAAGCGTGACCAGCCCTGTTCCACATTGATCTGTGGTATAGGTAGAGGACTGCAGAGGGCAAAAGCTATCTCCCTGTGACAGACAAGGCAGTTCCAAGTCACCACCTTTAAAAGACAAGACAACCACAGACCTCTACATAAGACCATCCTCTGGGATAGGCAACAATTTCTACCCCCAGCTTCCTCTACCTGCTAGTCTCTCTTCCAAAGCTCATTCCCCTTGGAAACAGTCATAAGTCATGCCAAAGGCACCAACACCCTCACAAAAGAGGCTAAAATTCACACTCTTAAAACAGCAAAGCCCGGCCAGGTGTTGTGGCGCATGCCTATAATCACAGCACTCAGGAGGCTGAGGCAGGAGGAGCGTTGTGAGTTCAAGACCAGCCTGGGCTACAAAGTGAGCTCAAGGCCAGCCTGAACTGCATAGTGAGACCCTGTCTCAAAAAAAAAAAAAAAGAAAAAAAACACAAACCCCTGCAAAGTCCTGTTGTGGGTGTAGTGCTCTGTCCGAACTGGAGGTAAACAGCACTAACTCACTGCACAGCGAAGGTACAGGTATGGGTCTTAACTATCTTCTCTCAGTTTTTTTGAGACAGGGTCTCGCCATATAGCTCAAGCAGATCTTAAACTCACTATGTAGCCCAGGTTGGCCTTGAAATTGTGGCAATCCCCCTGCCTCAGCCTCCAGAGTACTGGGATTACAGCCATGTGCCACCACACCCAGCGAGACACAGTTCTTTACCCCATTCAGGCTCTGTGTTTAAGGGAACTCAGGAATGGTAACTTATAATCTTCCTTCCTTCCCCAGCCTATGTTAGCATGTATTAACTTTTAAAATGAATGTTAAGAAGATATAGTTATTTATGAAGTTTCTACTCTGATAGTGCCTCCCAGAGAGACCAGAGGGAGTAAACACAGGAAAGGACAGGGCCAGCCTTTCATCCAGGCCTACAGGAGTATCAAGGGTCAGACCAGTTCTAGCTCCCAGTCCCACTGCCTTATCTCCACCTGAGCCTGGCCACCAGGGAGGGAACTGGCTGGGCTCTGCTGCACAGCCTGCATTTGACCTCGGAACATGTGCTTCAAGAATCAGGTCTGAGGAGAGCAAAGGGGTCTGCTTTCCTCTATGTTCCTCTCTTAGGAGATAACTGTTCTACATAGGGATGGCTTCATCCATTCTCAGACCTGCTTTATCAACTACACAGCCTACAGCTGAAAAAGTGCCCAAATTATTCACCGGCCAGAGACTGGCAATACAGCCCTCAACCTGCAATACTTCAAAGCATCCTCTACATGGAAAAAAATGACACCAGATTTTTCAGGAGGGCAAATATCTGGGTCAACAGGAGGGCAAGGCTCTGCCCTGGCCTATGGAGGAGGACCAGCCCCATCCTGGAACTTCTGCAGAGCCCTTACCTGGAGTCACCGTCCTGGTCATCAGCATGGTCGCCAGTGTTGTTAACAGCATATCTGCTACGTGGCTTATCTGCGTAAAGGCAAGAAGAGGAAATGGCTAAGAAAGTAGGATCTCTCCATACATAGAAGGATTGTGGAGCTGTTAAAATCCACAGTTCCCAAAACACAGCCTATCCACACAATGCAATATTGTTCAGCCATAAAAAGTAACATGCACGAACCCTGGAAATATTTTTGCTTAATGAAATAAACCCAAGGCAGAAAGGCAAATATCACACTTATATAAAATATCTAGAATAAGCAAATTCACTGGTCACAGAAAGTAGATTAGACATGGGCTGAGAACATAGGGAAATGAGTTACTGCTTAATGGTCAGTTTCAGTTTAGGTAACAAAAACCTTGGGAAACAATGATAAGGATTGTACAATATAATGAATGTAATTAACACTACTAAATTAAGCACTTAAAATGGTTAAGCCCCTGGACATGGTGGCACATGTCTGTAATCCCAGTACTCAGGAGGCTGAGGCAAGAGGATCCTTGCAAGTTTGAGACCAGCCTGGGCTACAAAGTGAGCTCA